TGTGTGTGTGTGTGTGTGTGTGTGTGTGTGTGTGTGTGTGTGTGTGTGTGTGTGTGTGTGTGTGTGTGTGTGTGTGTGTGTGTGTGTGTGTGTGTGTGTGTGTGTGTGTGTGTGTGTGTGTGTGTGTGTGTGTGTGTGTGTGTGAAAGTATGTGAACCGCTTATAACTTTTAAACGGTTCATTCGATTTTATCGCGGTTGGTGCCATTCGAAAGGGCTTGGCCAAACTTAGATTTTGAGTATAATTTAGACCGATTCGGATCAGTAGATTTTGAGAAATCTCGAAAAAACTAAGAAAAAAATTTTTTCAAATGTGTTTATTTTTTTATAACTTTTAAACGGCTTCACCGATCGATTCCAAAAACTAATCAGCTCTAGACGATGAAAAATCACGTCGATCGCCACCAAGCTGGTCGAAATCAGTTGATTCGTTCGAGAGATATCGTGAACGAAATAAAACCAAAAAAACGTTTTTTCGGAATTACTCCGAAGTTTTCGATCAATTTAAACCTGAAAATTCTTCATGAAGCTGATAAAACTGCGTCGAATGCCGCCAACCACGTGAAAATCGGTTGATCTATTCAAAAGTTATTGCGGTTTGAAAATTCCAAAAATAGCGTTCTATGAAACTTCTATCAGACTTTTGAGCTCGAAGAGCTCAAATGCATAAAAATACTATTTCTTTGCATTTTCTCAAAAACGTCATAAGTACAATTTCAAGCGCACAGATATGGATTAGCGGGAAGTTGCACGGATGTCCTTCAGGGTCAACCGTTTTTCTAATTTTTTTAATTTAAAAGAAGATTCAAAAAAAGGAGCAAATTTCCTAAAAAAAAGTCCGTAATTCCGGAACTGTAAGACTAATGTTTATAATTTTCCCAGTGGGATGAAAACACGGTCGAAAACGGGTGCTCTGGCTTGCGTAAGCCACGCCTACTTTGGATACTTTATTAATAAAATTTAGATAGTTAAAAAAAATACTCTGAATTGGTAATTAACAGTTTAATTCTTTTATAATTAAACAAGCTTCTGATGGTCAAAAATCTACGATTCTATTAAATTTATTCACTGGATTTCACTTTCAGATCTCTATTGTCTATACTAATATTATAAAGAGGAAAGATTTGATTGTTTATTTGTTTGTTTGCATTGAATAGGCTCCGAAACTACTGAACCGATGTGAAAAATTCTTTCACTGTTGGAAAGCTACACTATCCCCTGGTGACATAGACTATCTTATACTATGAATAATTTGAAAATTTTTGTTAAATACCCGTGCAAAGCTGGGGTGAACTGCTAGTAATATATATATTTCTTCTGTGCATGTGTTTGTCACTGAACTCCTCCTCAACCGCTGAACTGGTTTTAATGAAATTTGTTGTATGTCTTCAGTGTGTCTTCAGTCGACGGGAAAATTTTTATTTAATTAATTTTTCATTTATAAATTGTTGTTGATTTTGGAATGTTTGGCATTGGATCTGGCAGATAGCGCTACAATCGCATTATCGAATATTCAAAAATATTTTAATAATAATTTTTATCGAAACGGTCTAAACTGTTACAGATCATTCAAATAAGCTTAAAATTTTTAAATTTGAGACGTGTGTTCTGTAACAATGTCTGTTGTTTCCGCTAGTTTTATGTAAATTTATAAAATTTGACAAATCATTATGAGATTTTAATGGTAAAATTTCATAAAATATTTTTTTCTGGACATACACCGAATCGTTATAAAACTATTTGACATTTATTTATAACATCGTATTGGTTCTTCTCAAGACATTTCAAGATTTTTCTTATAATCATGGTCTTGTTTTTGCCTTGATAATTTGAGACAAGATTAATATTATCTCGATCTTGAGTAAAGCTCTAGTAAAAATGATACTTTTGGGTTAATTATTTTGTAAAAAATTTTTTAGTTTTAATGCAAGAGACTTATCCAAACAAATTGATCGGATAGCAGTCGATTTTACTAGAACTATCAAAAGCCCAGATCAATATGATAAAGTAAGAAAATTTATTTATTATATAATTGAATTGAAAGAGTGTAAATTAAATTTAACAATTGTTGAGTTAATAGTTTTGGATGCCCATGAAAAATTCTCTGATGTGGTCTTAAATAGGCTTATCAGATATATAGTAGAAAACTTTTTCATGGGCCATGTAAACCTTTTATGTTATTTATTGATATCAATTTAATGCTCATGAATTGTTTCAATATATTTCAGTTTGTAGAATTCGTTACTAATCAGGAAAAACTCGGCAAAATGTCATGGACCGACACGCTGTTAAAAAAGGCCAGGAGGACTATGTCATCAAGTGAAAAACTGTCATCCATGTTCCATCGAATTATAGACTCAAATCCTTCATTATTTAATTTTATACATGAACCACTGTATTCTAATAATTACTAATCAAATTTAAACTATGTAATAATTCTATAGTAAAAAATATAGTTTTCGTAATCAGTGTTTGATTTTTGACACTACCATAAATCATCCCGAGTAAAGAAGATTTTATACAATTAGATACAATTATGTATAAATTATATATAATTATATAGAATTATATATAATTACATAGAATTATATATAATTATTTCCATAGAAATAAAAATATCTGGCGTGGGCAGGAATCGAACCCGGGACCTGACGCTTGGAAGACTGATTCACTACCTGTTTACCTACTAGACTTATTTGAAGTTGAGAGTTTGTAATAACTAGGCGGAGATCCTAGGATCCACCTTTACAAGCATGGAATGTGAGTGAATTTCGGGTATATATATATATATATATATTGTGACATGGGAATAATTCGCCATGTCAAATGATGACTTTGATTAATTTTTTTTTTTTTAGGTTTACTTTATTATTATTATTATTATTTAATTATATTGGCTCAGCTGGAGGATAGCGGAGATTTGACGCGACTGTGCCGCCCCACTACGGTCCCATGATCAGAGTGCGAAGCTCGAGGTAAGACAGGTAGGAGAGTAAAGCGCCAAAATTTTGAAGTATGTACGAATGAGTGTAAACATTGTAAAGAGTATGCTAGAGTGAGAGCGACACGATTTTAGAGCGATCAGACGAACCCGACGATTTTCACGGAGCCATCGACGACCGGTGAGACATCTAGACGATGACGTTGGAATGAAGCAAATTCAAATCTGCCAATGACGACAGCGTTTGAGCAAATTCAGTCGAGCGAGGCGCCATCTGCACCCTGAAAAATGAACCGAGTGGTATATCGACCAATCATCGATCGCAACGGGACACTGGACGCATCCCGCAATACAACGGCCGGCTAGCATAAGCCACAGCTCACAAGCTGATTGGATGCGAGCTTTGGTACCAACGGAAAAGAAAAGAGCACGTGTTGCCGGGGAAGCAGCGATAATGACAATCAATTCTGATCTGGAAGCCGTGCTTGTTGGTGCACTAAATTTTGACACGCGTAATTACAATTCATTTGTTAAGGAATAAAATTGTAACAACCGCAAATTGTACCCTCGTTGCGTATTTTTGACGATCGTTCACGTTGTGTGAAATTGCCGAGTGCCAGTAATTGTTTTTGTTGTCAACAACTGCACGTGGGTCAACGCCATCGCCGAGCAGTCGACGCCATTCCGCCGGTCTTCCCGCCAATTGGGGTTGATTTGTTTTTCCTGACGAGCCAGCACCGACCTCGAGGAGTTTACTACGGCCACGGGGTAAGTCTGATCGAGATTGTTTTACTTCCGGGTGTCCTCACCGCGATCTGTGTCGTGAACCTGGCCGAATTTCACCAGGATTATTTTTGTTGTTGTCAATAAATCCCACCGTAAATTTCTTGTGGAATTTCTCTATGAGCGAGTGACGACACTCTGAGGTACGGTACCTTGGGTTTGTGTGACGTATGTGTGTGTAGTGACTCACCACGTGAGAATTCGTTACCTCGAGCTTCTTAAATTTCCCAGTATTCGATAATTTCAATTTACGGAAATTGTTACTCGCCGTACAATTACTTGGAGATTAATTAACTATTGAAATTATTAAATCTTATTTACATTTCGATTTATTTAAAAATAAATCCAATTGTTATTTCGCCGTATAAATAATTATTAACCAAATTGAGGTTAATTAAAATTTAAATTATTAAATATTATTTACATTTCGATTTATTTAAAAATAAATCCAATTGTTATTCGCCGTATAATTAATTATTGAAATCATCAAGTGTTGTTGATTCAAGTAATTATAGGAAATTAAATTGTTGACTGTGTCGTACAATCGGTTATAGATTAAGACGAGGACATTGCGAGCCGATGACAGACCGAGGTCAATTAATTTTCTGTTCCCAATTTTTTTTGGTTTTGCGTTACTCCGATTTCGAGTAATTTTAGTATCGATTAATTGATTAGGTCACCGAAGAATAGTAATAGTATTTTATATTCTATTTTATTATACTACTATTTGCGAATTGTCAACTAATCACAGTTATTATTATTTTTTTTTGTGTTATTATTGCCGCTATCTCGACGAGAAGTAAATCGATCTGATCCGAACTTGCAAAACTTATGAATTATATTGGCGATTTAAAAAATAAACTGTTAATTGAATTCTCGGTCACTAAATTTGTTGCTTCCTCCCTCCCCGAGATCCCGTAAATTTAATAGTTTACTGTTCGCCGATTATTGAAATCTATTTCCAAAATTTTGAATCTCTTCGTCATCGACCTGCCGCCCGACGACGATCCGTAACGACTTCGAACCTTGGAACGGTAAGTTCCTGGCGCCCAACCACCTTCGAAACCCAGGTAAGCCAATTTTGGTGGTGCTCTCCGGCCCTGTCGACGCCAGTGCCGGCGAAAAGCCCATTATAACTGATAATCAATATACCTAGGTACTGTGATAATCAGTATACTTATTTTGATAATCAAAATACCACGTATTCTTAGTAGCACAATACCAAGTATTCTGGTTATCAAAATAAATATCCTTAGTAGCAAAATACATTTTTCTCAGTGCACGTAATTCGGCCGTCGCCCTTTTAAATTCTTCACAATTTGATCCATAATATTTTTCGAAATTAGATAATCTAATTGTAAACACGTCATACGACTTGCTCTTTTACCATCACGCAAGCTTTTAATATTAATTTCATTCTTATAGAAAATAGTTCCAATAAACTCTGTAACGGTAATTTAATATTGATCAAGTACTCAGATAAATAATATTAGCAGAAAGTCAAAATAAAGTTAACTAAAATCATACCTTACATAGTCCAGACTGGTTGATTGTTTATCTTGGAATTCATTAAAACATTAGCCGTAGCTCTAGGGACGGTACTGAGCTGAAGCATGTTATTGAAACAAGATATTCGGTGGGGGCCAACATTTCGCAACCATTTCTCTTCAAAATTGAGTAAAAAATTTTGATAAGTATTCTTCTGGTTTTCAGGGATTGCATTTTTAACGGCTGTGTAAACTATGTTTATTTTATTGTCCAGCAATAAAGCTAAAGCCATCAGTTTTCTAACAAAGATTTCGTTGTCTTCATTTTGGAAGACTCCAAAATCAGTGGCGGATTGAAAGAAAATCTAGATAGATAAAAATAAAGACAAGAATTTTATGTCTTTAATACAACTTAATTGTATGTTATGACAATGACACTTTAATGGAATTGAAACTTCAGAGTAACAGAATAAATGTTTAAACAAAATTTATAGACCAGATGACTAGTCAACTTTTTTGATTGAAAACTATTTTAAGTAAAATATTGATGTTTAATTTATTGAATAAATCCTATGAAACACCGTGGTATGCGCCCAGTTGAGACGGAGTAAACACAAGAACCGCCTTAACCTGGTAGACGTTACTTGAAGCAAGACAATAATTTTTATTAAACTTACAATGTAATAGCTGTAAAAGCTTCCTTTAATTTCAGCATTAGGATATACGGTCCCCAGATGATGATGCAGTTCAGCATTGAAATTACCAAATATTCTTGTTGGCGTTGGTAAAATAGTAACTAACTGATTTATTATTTCCCGGTAGCAGTTATTATCTTTCGTTTTAATTAATGCAAACAAGCATAAAAAAGCCTAGTAAAGAAAAAAATAATTAATTTAACGTAAACAATACACTTATTAATTAGAAATTAAATACGCTGATAAAAATTATGCAAATGACTTACATTTTTATTTAAAATTGAAGTAACTACTAGTATTTCTTCAGCAGGCAATGTATCTATTGCAAAGTTTGAATTTATCGTGATATATAAGCTTTCCGAAGCCGCCAAATGCTGCATGTTTCCATTGTTGATGAATACTAAAGATTCGTTTTCTTCATCTGAATTCTGGACAGTGACTTCAACCGTTGAAGTACCATCATGCCAACGTAGTTGTTGCCAATCTTCTGAATATAAAAGGTCACGGAATTCCGAGTATAAATGAAAGTCCGGGAATACTCTTTTTTCACGAGATGTTCTCATAGAACTCAGCATTTTACTATGACATGTTGACAGCAACATCATAATAACTGAAAAGAAAAATTCGGCAATAAAATTTATATAAGTTTCTCAAAATATGTGGATGATTCTCTGTAAGGATGTTTTTTGCTGTCCCAGGCATTTTTAACTTCCCGCTAAAAATCTCAGATTTTCAAAAATTGGGAAGTTATTGTTTTCACCCCGTTTTACAAAAATTGAGTTTTCATCAAATCTTGACGTTTGAAGGTCACAGGAAGCTTCCTTGACTATTTTTACGATGATGTCCGTACGTCTGTATGTATGTGTGTGTGTGTGTGTGTTTTTTTTTTCCTTTAGGGGGGGGAATCCTTTTTACGGATTCTAGGCATAGTTATTGGCCTGGATATGTGGCGACTCGACGCAGCGTCATACTAAAACTCGACGCTAACGCCCCTACCCACTAAACCCTAAACCCCTTTCCTCTTTCCTCTAATCCCTCATGGAAACCGCCGTCAGGCATAACTTCGTGAGGGGAGGATCTAGCTACTGCTCTTCCTTCTGGTGGCTAAGGTGTTAACTACCTTCCTTCTATCTTCTGCTATTTGCTCTTCTTCTTTCGGTGGAACGCAAGTCTTTGAGGACTTCTGTTGCAAACGTGTTGGTAGCGTTCCAGGCAGCTTCTGATGACAACATTGCTTCTACTAGTGAATCTGGTTGCAATCTCTGGTTCAGGATCCTCTCCAGCTCTTCACGCTGTGGGTCGAAACGAGGACATACAAAGAAGACGTGCTCCGCATCTTCAGCAACTCCTGGGCAGGTCGGGCACTCCGAAGAGTCATCGAGCTTGAAGCGGTGTAGATACTCTCGGAAACACCCATGTCCCGACAACATCTGCGTAAGATAGTAATTGACCTCACCGTGATTCCGGTTAAGCCAAATGTCGATCTTCGGTATGAGACGGTGTATCCATCTTCCTGTTGTCGCGGCGTCCCACTGCGATTGCCATCGTGCAATGCTGTTTTGCCGTTCTTCAGCTCTGAGTTCCTCGGCACTTAGTGTGGTTGAACACTTTCGTTGGTA